TATGATTTGCTTTCAATTGAGTGCGTACTAAAATGTTTTTCCTAACTGGGTTGATCATAATTGACTTCTTGAAGTATATTTTTACAGCAGTGGAGTAAATGATGGTTAACTTTTCTCCTACTTATAAACCAGATATTTGCTTGGATCTAGTTCAGCGCAACCCAAAGTTGACCGTTGCTACAAACAAAGAACGGGCATTTTCTCCTATTTTTGTACTGTCACTTCAACCTAAAGCATTCTTGAGTGGATGTAGGCTTCGGTTTTGGCAAACATGGATTTATCGTTGTAAGTAGGGATTCCCTTTAATTTTATATTTTAATCTTTAAATTTTATTGTTTTTGGGCTATATATATTGATTTAATCAATCAATTTGCGGTATATGTATTGAAGTGTTAAAGGTATAGTTATCCCCAACTCCCTCCGATGAATTACAAATTTCTGTTATGCTTGATATTTCAGAGGAAAGAACATCGAAATACAAGGTATTTGAATGTATCCAAATTGATCACACCATAATGTGATATCATTGCCAAATAAAATAAAATAAACTTTAAAATTAGATCTATTATTAATAAGTATTATATTGTAAGATATCTTCAAAGTTTTTAAGTTTTGGATTATCACTTAAAAATATTAATTTTTTAATATACACTAATATAATATGAACGTGTACTCCTAATATCTTTTGAGGAGGATTAGGCTTTGTTTATGAGTGCCAGTTATAATTATAATTGTATCTTAATTTTTTAGTATTTTAATATTTTAAAATTATATGAAATATATTTAATATATATTTTAATTAATATTTTATTTATTTTTAGAATAGTAAAATACAACAAAAAAAAAAAAAACCTAAATCACCAAGGAACATTCTCAAACAAAATCCTAATCTTCAAATACAAAAAGATGAATAGGGAGAGACTCTTACCATCTAATTACCACATTGCATTTTAGTATTTGTGATGGGAAAGGGGAAACTAACAATCTTGTGACTCGAAACCCTCAACCTCACCAGGGGATGATTGCCACTAAATCAAGTGGCAAGCCACTTCATCGTAGCGTGGAAATCATGTACGTTTTTCTTTGAATAATATAAAAAATATAAAGATAAGAATACACTAAAATTTCAAAATCGATTAATTTTTTTTTAACAACATAAAAATTATAAGAATAAAACACACTATAATTTTAAAATTAATTAATTTAAAATTATCTAATATCCCATATATACCACTTTAACACACATGTATGATCAACGTGGGACAAATGCCCTACGATCGGAAAATCTTGTACTTATAATTACTGTTTAATTCAGCATGTACATAACAGTATATATAATGGAAGTTTATTTTAATTATTTTCTTTAAAAATAGAATAAAAATAGAATTTTAATCCATTAAAATTCTATTAAAGTTCTGTTATAAAAGAAAGTTGTTTTTGCACACATTACACAGAGACAGCTCTCTCTCTCTCTTTTTTCCTTTCTTTTTTTTTTTTTTCATTTTAATTATGTCAGGTACTGTAACTTTTCACTTGTCAAGTCGTACTTCTCAAGCGGTGCAACTTTTTATTTTATTGGTATTTGTTTTATTTTTTTCTAATTTGAAATTTTTTAAATGAATTGCACAAATTACTAATGATATAATTTTTAAGCAAATTTTATTTAAATATATATACTGAAAAAAAAAAGTATTTTGTTAAATATTTTATTTAAAAATTAAATAATTAAAATGATGTGAATTTATGTAAAATAATATTAATTATAATAATATAGTACTAAAATAAATTTTTGTATTGTTCTCTTTTGTACATGTTTTAACAGAAATTTACTCTTGGAGTATTTGTTCGGCATCTTAAATTGAGTTTAATGCTCCAAAATTTATCTGGTAACTCACCCTCAATTATGAAGTTTTTTTTTTTTTTACGTATTTTAGCATTTCTATTATTTTATTCCTATGCCTTTCATTTTATATATTAATTAATTCTTGATTTATTTAGGAATCAAACATATTTATAATTTAAAATCGACGCATCTCTATACCCTTGAGATTCTTCGATGTATGTGTGACCATATTTCAACATTAAAAGTCCAACATCTTTGGAATTGTGGAGTGGTTGACGCAATGTTTGAAGCTACCAAGCAGGGCATGGTTGAATTCGTCGTTGAGCTATTGAAAGTAAGCCAACCGCTCATTTTCCCTAATAATGATCAAAGAGACGTTTTCATGATAGCAATCCAATATCGTCAAGAAAACATTTTCAACCTCCTGTATGGCATTAATGAGGAATGGAGAGCGCGTTTTTTTAATGCAACAGATAGAAAGGGGAATAATATGTTACACGTGGCAGGGGAGATAGCTCCTCACTCTCAACTTGCCCGAATCTCCAGCACTGCATTGCAGATGCAAAAAGAATTACAATAATTTAAGATTTTCATCTTATTTACTCACTCAATTATAGCATTTTAAAATTATTATTGTTAAATATTTTAATTTATTTTTATACATGAAATGTACTTTGATTCTTTCAAAAGTTTATATATAAAATAACTTATTTATTTATTTCAAAAATAAATCCTGATTTGTTGTTCTAAAAATTAATGTGTACTTTTGTTAACCGAATACAGGAGGTGGAAAGAATTGTTCCAGAATGGTGCAAAGAACATAAAAATGGAAATGGTGAAACCCCTTATGAAGTATTTTCAAATAGCCATGAGAAATTAGTGAAAGAGGGGGAAAAATGGATGAGGGACACAGCAGGTTCTTTTATTATTGTCGGTACTCTCATTATTACGATCATGTTTGCTGCAGCCTTTACTCTTCCAGGTGGCAATGCTCAAGATGGGTTTCCCAATTTTTTACGGAAAAGATTATTTATGATATTTATAACATCTGATGCGATTTCCTTCTTTAGTGCATCAACTGCAGTCTTAATGTTTTTGGGAATCCTAACATCGCGCTTCGCCCAGGAAGATTTTCTCGAGTCCTTACCCAGGAAGTTGATCATTGGCCTTTCCACTCTTTTTATTTCTATTGCAGCAATGACGGTTAGCTTTTCTGCTGCTCTTTTGATTATACTGCAAGATCGATGGTGGGCAATTATTCCCGTAATTATGATGGCTAGCATTCCAGTTACAATTTTTGTATGGCTGCAGTTTCCCCTCCTTGTTGAAATTATTATTTCGACGTATGCTACGGGAAGAGTTTTTAAGAGAAAAATGAAGCCTTGGCTGTAGTGGAGAGCAAGTTGATTGATTTTCCTGGAACATAAGCGAGCAGTTTCCCCTTCAAGTTGAAATCCTTTAGCTTGTTCTTTGGTTATGTTTGTTGGAACTTCTAATTTCCCTGTTCTATTTGGTTGGATTATCAGATTTTCTGCTTTTAATTATGAGGCTTCTGGTCTATTTACCTTCTTATTGTGTAAAAACAATATTAATCATGCATGTTATGTTATATTTTCAGATATTTTGCTTTCTTAAGTATATATGTGATTGATGGCTTGAAAATGGAAAAATGAGAGGTCATTTAAGATGGGTTTAATGTCAAATAAAATTATTAGACAATAAAAAAATAGGTAAAGAATATTTAAAATCTTTTGTGGTATTAAAAATAAAATTCAACTCTTTTGAAAAATATAAGTTTTATTAATTAATTTTACTATCACAAAATGTCTAATTTTTTTAGTAAATTATTGGTTTTTCTTTCCATTAACATCATTAAAAAAAAATCTAAATTATATGTTAGGACCTAACTGTCATCATCCAAATTTTTACCAAAATTTTTATCTCGTTTTTGCTCCCAAAAATTAGTTATAAACTCAATAAATATTTGGCTAATTCAAACATTTTCAAAATATCTTGGTTTCTACCCCAAAAATTAATCCCTCACTACTTTTCAAGTTTAAAACAAAAAAAAAAATTGCAAATTAACCCCTAACCCATTAAGCACTTGATTTTTTTATTTTTTTTTTTGACTTGGGGAAATGATGGGAAAAGGGGGAGCAGTGCGAATAAATCCCAGAAATTTTACGTGTAGGCACCTTCCTAAAAATTGGAAGATAACCAAGCCATGTGGTGCCGGACTTAAGCACTTGATTTTAATTTTATTTTATTTTTGTTATTTTCGAAACTTAGTAGGAGAGTTTCTAATTTCTATGTCTTCACTCTCCCAAAAATGTTGGTAACGCACGCGCCACCCCGCTGGATAAAACCTCTTGTATTGGACGGCATTCTTTCTTCGTTATCTCCACGCATTGTGTCTCACCGGCTAACTCAGGCCATCAAACTTCTCAACTCCCACTATCGCCGGAGCTCGTGCCGTACAGTTGCTATGGCAACACCCAAAGTCGATTCATCGGGCGAGTCATTGTCGGAACACGCCACCGGGAAGTGGTACTCAGTACAAGATCTTCGTCTCCGAGATCACCGTTTCACTGTTCCTCTGAATTACAGAGACCCCGCTACTTCCTTAAAGATCTCCATTTTCGCTCGGGAAGTCGTTGCTGGTACGGGGCCACCTCCTGCGATCAATTTCAAGTTGAATTATTTCTGTTAAATCACTGTTTAATGTTGAAATATCGTGGATTATGTTTTCTTTTTTCGAATTGGTCCCAGAATGTCGAAGTACAAGTGCTAAAGTCAACCTAGCTTTATTTTTCCTCTTGCCAGGACATGTTAGGTTTTTCCTTTTTCTAGTTCTTGGAAATAATTGGATTCTTAAGTGTACTTGGATGCTTACTTGTCTATTCCGTTAATGCAGTTAGTATTTTTTCCAAAAAAAAAAAAAAAAAAACCATATGAGTGTACTAAAGAGGAATCTGAATTGAGGATTTTCAGCATATGAAATTAGTAGAGTGGTGTTATATGTGCTGATTAATGTAGAACTGTTTTGCAGTTGGTAAAGAAGATCAAGCAATGCCATACCTCCTGTTTCTGCAAGGTGGACCGGGTTTTGAATCCCCAAGACCAACCGAAGGCAGTGGATGGATACTTAAAGCTTGTGAGGAGTTTCGTGTTATATTAATGGATCAGGCATGGTTTCCTTGAAGAAATTTGATGAAATGGAGTATTTGTGCTTGTTGTTATTGAGGGTTGGTGATGTTTTTTTTCTTGCAGAGAGGAACAGGATTATCAACTCCGCTAACAACATCGTCTATGCTGCAATTTAAGTCTGCCCGCGATTTGGCTGATTACTTGAAACATTTTCGTGCTGACAGTATAGTCAATGATGCTGAGTTTATCCGTGTTCGTCTTGTTCCTGGTACTTGGACAGTTTTGGGCCAGGTATTAAAATTACTGTTCAATTTTGACATTTTTGTTTGTGCATTTCACCATTTCATATGACCATGAGGAGCGTCTAGTGATGATCAATTAATCAGTATGCATGCTGTAAGTTTATAACTTTTTGTGTTTTTACTCTTTTCTCACTCTTTCTGGCAGAGCTATGGAGGTTTTTGTGCCGTCACCTATTTGAGTTTTGCACCACAAGGATTGAAACAAAGTGCTTCTGACTGGAGGAATACCTCCAATTGGAGATGGATGCACTGCTGATACTGTTTATCGAGCTTGCTTTGAGCAGGTTGCTCGTCAGAATGAAAAGTACTACAAGAGGTATCCTCAGGATATTGAAGTTGTTCGTGAAGTTGTAAATTATTTGGCAGAATCTGAAGGGGGTGGGGTGAGGCTTGTCTGAATTTGATCCTGGTTCTTTACTCAAAGCTGATATTTTAGCTAAATCTTTTTAATGTAAACTCCTTTTTGTGCAGGTTCCTCTTCCATCTGGGGGCATCTTGACCCCAAGGGGGCTGCAACTTCTCGGTCTTTCTGGTTTGGGATCTAGTGCAGGTTTTGAACGCCTTCATTATCTGTAAGCATCATAATTATGCACCCTTTTTTTTTTTCTCTCTTCTAAAAGCTCAGATTACATTGTTATGTCACTACGTCCACATCTTTTTGTAATCTCTTAAAAACAACTGTAGGTTTGAGAGGGTCTGGGATCCTGTAATAGTCCCAGGAGCACCGAAGAAGATTAGTTTCTACTTCTTGAATGCTGTAAGGGACTTTTCAGTTTCTTATATATATTTTGGAAGTTCAAGTCACATTCTCGGAATTAATCTTGATTCATTTTGTTTGAACAGTTTGACAATTGGTTGGGTTTTGATTCAAACCCACTCTATGCTCTTATCTACGAGTCAATTTACTGTCAGGTAGATTTTGCTGTTTATTCTATTCCATTTGCTTGATGAGCGACATTTTGCTGCACACATTACCTTTAAAAAGGAAGGAAAAAAATCAATATGTGGTTGAACAGGTTTTACATTGGCCAAATCCAAACAATACCATTAGGACTCTTATCTCAGTTGCAATATTCCATTCACACGCATATATGATTTGATTTTTGAGTTGTTTGTTGTTTCTTAATTCTATAAAGGGTGCTTCATCTCGGTGGTCTGCTCAACGACTGAGGGCTAAATATGAGAACAAATTTGATGCAATGAAGGCTGCAGGTGGAGGACCCTGTACTTTTTACAGGGGAGGTAAGACCATTGTGCCTTATTGATTGCAAGTTTGCAACTGCAACATTTACATGCAAGCATTAGAGTCTGTTTGACATAGATCAGAGAAAGCCAACTAGCCTTGAGGCAAATATATTTGGATTTCCTTTCACCCTCCATTGTTCAAAAATAAAATATTGTTCTTCTGCAACAAAGAGTATGAAACCAAAATTTCAGTATGTGCGTGCCGTCATTTTTAATATGGAACCCTGAGAGGTGATCACAATTTTGAATAAATCTTGTGGTTCTGACTTCTGAGTCAATTTCTTTACCTCAAGTTCATCTTATCAGGGCAGCCATTGTTGCTATTCAACTGATAGTCTAATACATATGGTTTTACGTTTCTACAGATGATGTTCCCATGGATGTTTGATGAAATTCATGCTTTGAAGCATTTTAAAGATGCTGCTCATTTATTGGCCGAGAAGGAAGATTGGCCTGCATTATATGACAAAGCGGCATTAAACAATAACAAGGTTCATTACCTTTAGTTAACCTTTCTAATTCAGTATTTCACACTTAACAAAAAAAAGAAAAATATTGTGGGGTTTTTTGCCAAAGAAATTGTAATATTCATTCCGAAACAGAAGTTTTTACATCTAGGAGATGAAACCAAGAGACAGCTCAAGAAACTAAAAATCACATAATCTTCAAGTTGGCTCCCAATTTTTTACTTCACTAAACTTAATTCTCTGATTCTTGAAGGTACCCGTGGCAGCTGCAATTTATTTCGAGGATATGTATGTTAATTTCAACCTGGTCATGCAAACAGTTAGTGAGATAGCTGGAATTAGGACATGGATAACCAATGAATACATGCATTCTGGGCTGCGTGATGCTGGAGGACAGGTTTTCGATCACTTGATGGGTATGCTAAGTGGAAAAAGGCCATTGTTCTGATTTCCACTGGAAGAAACCTTTGTCTTGTCATTTTTTAAGTCTAATTTCTTGGTACTAATTTTCCTGAGCTTTTCTTTGAAAAAGCAAAAACATTGTCCCGGCAACTCTCATGATGGATTTAAATTTTACAATTAGTGCTTTTGCAACGAATAAGTTTCATAATTTTTTTTTTTTTATCTATTAGCAATTTTTTTTTTCTATTCTTGCAAAAGAAAATATTTAGTGAATATTGAAGTAATTCAATTCACAGCTACATATAAAATCAAAGCTTCAATGTAGAATTGAAAAAATAAAATAAAGACTAACATTTCTTCTCCAAACGGAAATGTTTTTTATAATTTCTCCTGGTCTCTTATTAAAAAATTAAAAAAAATTTACAAGTTAAATTACATATTAAAAGTGTAGTTTAATATATAAATTTATTAAAATATTTTTAATAAAATTATTTTTTATATTATTTTATTTATAATAATTTAATAATTTTACTACTTAAACCATATTTTTTAATATATAATCTAACTTATAAAATATGAATTTTTTAAAAAAAATTCACGTTTTAAAGTGCAATTAAAAACATGGTTCTCTTAAAAAAAAAAAAGAGAGAAAAAAAGAAAGGAAAATGAAAGCATGCCCTACCATGAAGTAGCATTCTGGACATTTGGCGAGCTGTTTTTCGGAAACTGAGAAGACCGGTTATTTCGAAAAAAAGAAAAATTGTAAATCGGAAGGAAAACCCTTAACCTCGATTTCGCTAGTGCCGGTTACCGGTGAACGTTGGTGCAAGCTTCTTTCTTTGTTCTTCTTTGCTGTGAACCCTGCTGTTTCGTTGTGGGGTTTAGGCAAGGTTTTACTCCATTATTGCAGAGCTTCGAAATATTCATCAATTCGCAGTAGACTTCCATCTCCCATCCATTTTTGATATGTGTGTATATAAATGTGAAAGGGACACAAAAAAGGAATGAAAATGTAAAATAATGTGACATAAAATCAGTTTAAGAAAGAGAAATGAGGAGAGGAACATGTACTAAGTTAAGTCAAAATTAAAATACATAATAATAACATAAGTGTATGATGATAAAACAAACTAGAGAATTGAAACATGCTTCATTGAAAGATATATAGAGAGATGCAATCTTTATGTGAGAAATTGAAAAGAATCTAGCATGTGAATAGATAATGTTAGGAGGTAATTAATAAGGAGGAGATGATAAAAGAAAAAATGAATAACATTAAATAATTTACTAATATAAAAAGAAAGAATAGATAGATACAATTGATAAATTTTCATAATCTATTAATATAGTAACAAATTATGAAAATTTATCTTTATTTTTTAAAATTAAATTGATTAAATTTGTACATTTAAATCTTCTTTCATATCTACGGTTAAAATATTTTTTCTAAATAAATACATTTGAAATGACTAATTATCAAAAAGGTAGAAAAGAAACTAAGATAGATATATTTATAGTTATAATTCATTATTATTATAAAAATTTATAATTAAAATATATATATATATATATATATAAATGGACCACGCAAAGTGCGAATAGAGGTCTAGTTAGTATAGTAAGCATAAAAATAGGTTGATGGAATGATAGATCATATCATAATTGGTTTATTGACTTTAACTTTTCTCCTTTGTATTATTTTATAGATCTTTCAAACTAATGCTATGTATTTGCTAACGTGTTATTATTTTAGATGCATTGTGCCTTATATTTCGTGACAATGTTGAGCTCTAAACAATTTCGTCTCCTCAGTAGTGAATATTATTGATCACGCATGCTCTTCTATGAATCAATGTAATGCCATTAGCTTTTAGTTATAATATTGTCAAATTGTTTTTTTTTTTTTTTATATCCTATGAAACTCTTTACGTTTTACTCAATCTATTTTTTCTTAATTACTTTGTAATAGATTAATTCTTTAAGTGTTTACAATTAAAAAAAAATAAATTATGTGGTTCTATTTTATTCTTTCTTTATTTTTTGTGGTTTAAATATTTTTTTTTATGAATCAAAATTTATTAAAATGAGTACCATATTCTCCCTTACAAGAGAAAAAGGGACACACCGATAGGAGTTCAGTGACTTAAGTTTCAGCAGCACGAAGTTTTAGAAATTGGCACCAATCACCATAGCTAAATACTGTTAATTTTGACTTTCCATTAATCCAACCAAAAGTCTTAGTTAATTTGCACTAAATCAATAAGACTGCTTTCCTTTCAAGACAGTTTATTAAACAAAATATACCACTTCTAAAGTATCAACTTGTCCAAGCTGTGGTGAAAATAGTGAGAACCCATCAGTTTCATGAATTCCTGGCGTCCATAAGGGAGCAAAGCTGTGTAAGCGAAAGGGAAGCATTTTCAGAAGGGACAAAAGATATCTCCCACCACCAGCATATCCGTTTCCAAATATTTTGAATGTACCGATTAGTTGCAAAGATGTGGTGAAGCTCCTCCACATATTCTCCACAAAGGACACAGTTTGGGTTGGATACAAGATCAACTCCACGAATAATTAGTTTGTGGTTTAAAGTATTTCATCAAGACCCAGCCAGCATATCCGTTTCCAAATATTTTGAATGTACCGACAAGTTGCAAAGATGTGGTTAAGGTCCTCCACATATTCTCCACAAAGGACACAATTTGGGTTGGACACAAGATCAACTCCACGAATAATTAGTTTGTGGTTTAAATATTTCATCAAGACCCAGCCACAGCATGTATAGCAAGCGCAACCTAAACCTTCGCTCTATACTGTCTCTCACTCTCAAGGGTTTCATCATTGAATTTGGTTGTAATCCTGTGTCCCAACTTTGTATTCCCTTGGTTTGGTTTCTTTCGATAATTTTTTCTTTTTAACTTCTCCATTTGTTATTATATTACATGTTTCTCTTTTTCATTTCATATTTAGAACTGAGGAACGCCTGCAATCTCTATCTATATAGCAAGAATCCAAGTTTAGAGATCTCTTCCATATAGTAAGTATATTATAAAAAGAATCATACGTCAAGAGCTAGTGACAAAGGGATGAGAGAGAGAGGTAGAGAGAGAGAGAGAGGGGTGGTTGACGGACGACGATCACTAGCAAGGCGGACGACACTGAATCAAGAGCGTGCAGGGTCTCGGGGTAGAAGCAGAACCAGATGGTGGAAAACAGAGGAACGGAGGCAAAGGCAACATGATCAAAACCAGACTCGGATGTGGAAGAACGAGGGTGCTTATGACAAAGGATTATACAAGCAAGCCACACCATACTTTTTCTCCAATTTTCCGGATGACTGGAGCTATGCAGACATGTGGAGAATTTTCCGAAAATATGGAAGGGTGTATGACATTTATAGCCCCAACAGAAGAAGCAGAAATGGGAGTAGATTCGGGTTCGTGAGGTTTTTAGACGTTAGAAACAGAAGGGAGCTGGAAATGCAACTTGACAAAAT